TCTATGGTGTCAGGATCCCAAATACCAATGTCAGGCACTCCTGCTCCAATAGATTTCTAAGGAAATGGGTTTTGAATTAAAAGAGGCTCAAAATGACCTTTGATTTCATTCTTAATTGTTCCCTGAATTTGCTGATATTATACAATGAAAACTGTTTGTATTAGCTGTTAGAAAGCTCAACACAAAATATATGCTCACTTATAATGATAATCCTGGGTTATAATTATCATTACTATCCACATCTACTTTTTAAATTCTCATTTACTCTGCTCCCATTTTAATTGCAATTTAAAGTTATTAATTAATTCAAAAATTTTGTGAATCAACAAAAGTTTTACATTGACCTACATGGATTAAATTTAACATCATGAAAGACACTAAATCACCTGCATTTTAAATGGTGACTCAATGAATGAAGGCAAATTAAATATATCTGTGTGTTACATTTAGTCTGCAGCCCTTGATTTTATCTTTACTGTGAGCATACAAGTGGTCATGTTCAAAGCAAGTGTTTGCATGTAAAATCTTTCCTTTCTTTAATATCATTTTTCACCCAAAAAATGAGGCCTCAAAATATAATACAAACAATTCATAAAATCTTCATTTAAATATTTTTTCTACCACCTATAAACACATACTCCATTTGTTCACTGTTCTCCCAGATGATTATTTAAATAAGAATTTAGATGCATAGGAATGCTGACACTAAATTATTAAGAGGCGCCCCCGTGATGTTCTTACTACAATTTTTAGATTTTAAAACTGCTAGGCTGATTATGTCAGGCCCAGAAACAAAATAGACCTAATGATATAGAGTAGCATCAAACCTCTGCTAAAAATCTTCAACATTTGCCTTTCCTAACCAAGACAATCATTTTTCAGGTCAGATTTTGTTGACCCAATGATTGGAATTATAACAGAGACATAAAATCCTTAAAAAGTTGGTTTCTGTTTATTGAAAGACTAGCCATAAGAAAATTTTTAATCACCTTTCCAATGATAGTAGTAGACTAATCATACTTCTTTTAAATTCCCAGCCATGGAAATAGAAAAAAAAAAAAAAACAAATGTAAGTTAAACTAATTTCGTCAAAAACGAGAGATTGGAAGGAAGTTGTACCTAGTCAAACTCTAATTCTCCCAGTTATTTCTTCAGTTTTGGGGATCTGGGATTTTGTATATTACACTCTCTATTTAGTGATTCTTTTCCAGGAGTTGGGTCAGAATCTCAGGAAATATTGTAAATATCCATGTCCAGGGCCTATTGGATTTATTGAATATAAACCTCCAGGGAAAAGCCTAGGTTTGACAATATTTAAATCTTTCCCTGGTCACTTTGTGATACCATTGGAGCAGAGAACTAGAAAACCAGAAAATCATCTCTTCATCTCTTCATCTCATCTCTCATTTACAGGAACAATTCCCTTTACAATTTGGAGAGTTGCCAAAAAATAAAAAATAAACAGGCAAGAGAGAGAGTGATTTAACAATACTCCATGTAATTTTCCTAGACAGTGACAGACTAAGGACCAGTAAATTCAAAATGCAGCTTGGTTTCATATGTAAGCTCCTTAGCTCCCACATTTTAATAAGATGGGGTAGGTTTGACAGCATGGTTTGACTCTTATCTAATTGGTTGTTTCAGGCAGAAAAACATCATCTATCAGTTAATAATTTGTTCTCCCCACTAGCTTCCCCATAATCACTGCCAAGTCACTGCCAACATGGTTTCCTCAGAACCCGCCTAAAACTGCATTTTAAACACGTTTGCAACTCTGCATCTTCCTTCCCTAAATTAAGTATTGTTGTTCCCCAGATCAAATAGCACCTCATCCATACACAGAAACTGAGAAAAATTACAAAAACTAAATTCTTCTTGGTATTTTTTCCTTAATTATCTAAATTTCCTCATTGGAAAATTTTCTGCTTTTCCACATTTCCTGCTCAAGCCTTACCACAGAGAGATATTTAACTTTCATGTAACCTTTCCCATGTCAAAAAGATCACCATTTATTGTAAAATGCTTTGTTTTGTTTGAGTTTTAAGATAAACCCTATTTCCAGGGCAAAATTTGCTTCCCTGTTTTCTTTTACACTATTTAGAAAAAGGTCTTGGTGCAAAAAATAATTTGGACACAGGAAATGTTTTAACTTAAAAATTCAGTATTTTTACAAATATTTGCCATTGGTGCATACCCGAAAGCTGTACCTTCTCATACTTTTAAAGTATTGGTATTTGAAGTGAATTCTCAAAAGTCCATTCATTTCAACACATTTTCCTGCACTGAGTGCTTCAGCTTCTTAATATAAAAATAAACCCAACATATGTCATTATGAAAACAAAAGTATTTCAAATAATCTGGAAATAAAATTGGGTGATGTGTACCTTGTTTTGGAATTCCATATTTGCATTGTGTGAAAGCAGCTTTTCTGCCATTGCTGTGTTCCTAGAACAGACGGCACTGTGGAGAGGAGAGTAACCATCCTTGTCCTGAACATTTGGATTGGTGCCATTATCGAGAAGATTTACACAGCGCTCATGCTGGTGTTCTGCTGCCTGTTGGTATTGTACCAAGAAATGTATCATAGATACAAGAAATGCAAGCCAAACATTTTATAGAGTCCACGAATTAGTTATATTTAAATTATATTAAGCCCCTTTTATTTATGTATTTCAATCAAATCCATCTCCTGCAGAAACCCTAGGCTACTGTGTACCTTAATCAGAGGTGTGTTGTAGTCATTATCCAAAAGTTCAAGATTGCATTTCTTCTCTATTAAGAGGGCCACCACATCCCAATGTCCAAAAGCACAAGCATAATGGAGAGGAGTCCTGGGAAAGTAAGAAGATTCATTAGGAGATTATAGAGCACTTTTCACCACCCATTGAAACCAACAGGTGAGCCAACCTAGTCTGCCACAGTGACTAACCAAGGCAGCTCCAAGATCTGGTGTCCTTCAAGGGCAGAATAGTCATTCACAAGCAACCCAGCTAAACACAAGTGAGCTTGCAGAGCCTAAAGGACAGTGACACTGCACGAGCTCAACCTGAGCTCTCAAAGAAACTCAATCCCTCTGGAGAGGGGTTTTCTCCTGTAAACACTATGAATAGCTCCAAGATATAATACATCATGATGGACCAGAAATCAATGACATTCAGGCAGGTCTTGAAAAGCTCAGTTGTTTCCCATGAGAACCTCAGGATTTACAGCAAGCCTAAAAGAAGTCACTGTAGATATCTTCAGTGATCCTCCTCCACTCATGATCATCCAGGCTGCCAGTCCAGCAGCGTGCTGACTGTGCATGATCAGGAAACCCCATCCACCTGCGCGAAACAGCAATATTGGTGTGGCCAGTGTGGCCAAGGGTTCCTGAAAGTCCTGCCACCTGCTCTCCAATCAACCCTGGATTCCTCCAACCAGATAGGTGGACATCTGGGATATAAGGTGGTAAAGGCAGTACTGGAAACAGAACTGGAGGTGCGATAAAAAAGCATGATGTGTTTGCGGTTTCATTAAGTGTGAAATCTCCCAGTGACTGCTATCCTCTCTCAGGGGAAGTACCTGCAATTAGTGCAAAGCTTGCAGGAAATCCAGACTTCTCGGCAAATCTGGTTATGAAGATGGTTGGCTGCTTAAAACCACACTGAGTGAGCCTTCAGAAGTTGATGGATGGGTACAAGTGGACAACCCCAAAATAAGGAAAATCCTTTGAAGACTGAAATTGGCACCCCTAAATATGCTAGTGTGAAACACCATTAGAAACAAAACACTGCTACCACTCAATACTCAGCTAGCGGCTAACAAATGAAGAATGGTTACCAAGCAACCCTGCGCAAGAGAGACAGGAGCCATCTTGCCATTTCAAAATGTCCTTGTAAGGGTCCTCAGGAGAGAACATATATACATAGGTCTACACTGATGCAAATGGATTCCAGATTGTGTTCAAAGAATTATTTTTGCCCTTAAGTTGCTATATTATGGGAAATGTTTTGTCTCATGCTGCACTTTTCTACAATGTACATAACATTTTAAAAAAATGTGTACATTAAAACAAAGTGCTGGTACAAAATTTTGTGATTTAAATCACTTTTAAATAGTCAATCAAGCATTTTATAGGATGAATTTTAAGTGGCTGGGAAGCAAGCTATCTCTTTTGTTTGGGTGCTCAATAAGACCGCCTGGATGGGAGATGTCTCCAAGGTCTATAGATCCCAGGTGTTGAGGAGCCTGTGAGCACAGGAAAGTCAAGCACCTGGTGAAAGGAGAGTTGGCCTCCTTTCCCTCCACCCACCCTGGGCCCAGTGGGAAAGGTGGAGCCTTCTGCCCTACTGGCCCCACCTTCCCTGGTCAGCACCCTGTCCCTAGGACGCCTAGTCCTCTGGACATTATTACCTGTTTTTTTTATCTCGGTCGTCCATGCCAGCTTCTCCATGAGTCAAGATGTGGTTCACTTTGTCTACATCTCCCTCTAATGCCGCTCTGTGGAGTCTCATGGTAGATTTATAGGGAAAGCCCATTTTCCACAGGCTCCTCATGAATGACCTCTCAGTTCTGACTAACTTAGAGGCCATGACTAGGCCTCACAGGCCCCAGCCTTGTATTCTGGGGCTTTACAAGACGTTTTCTTCAGTCACAGAATAACCATCCTAGTCCCACCAGGTACCTAGTCATGGCTGAGCCACTCAATACTCAGGTAGCAGCTAATAAATGAAGAATGGTTGCCAAGCAACCCTATGCAACAGAGACAGGAGTGGGCACAGGCAGCTTCAAGAGCCACGCCCATCTTGGAACCCTGTGCTGAGGGCTGAAGTTATCTTATGGCTGGACTGGCCGACCAGGATAGGTGCTTGCTGACTGCACAGGATCAGGAAACCCCCCGCCCACCTGCGTAATGGCCAGCACCTGAGTGGCCAGCATAGTCAAGAGCCTCTGGAAGCTCCACCGTCTGTCTCAGTCAGCACTGGATCCCTCCACCCAGAAGTTGGTGGAGGTCTTGGAAGATGAACCTCCCAGTTCTTTTTCCAGTACTGCCACACCCAGAGAAACATAGATGTAAAGCTGAAGTTTGGTGGGCATTTTCTAAAGGTCTCCAATTCTGGTGAAATCCAAACAAGCAAGACTCAATAAGAAATTTTTTCTACTTTGGCCTGGATTGTTATTAAAGGTTAATAAAATAGGTACTTGTCACTCCATTTTTCTGTATGCTTAACAAAACACTGTTGAAATCCTGAGAACTGTTTGCTAATCTTGTTCCAAGAATGTGCTGTCCCCAACTGCCAAACTGCAGGATGCACTCCCTCACTCGATTGCAGGCAAACTGCCCACTCGCCCTGACCCATCAATGAACTTCCCTCCCTGCCCTCTCCAAGAAAAGTATATAAGCTCTGCTTAAGCTGTTCTCAGGGCTCTCTCTCTTTGCTCTATTCAAGTGAGCTCTGAGCCCCAGAATGCTGGACCCCAATAAACCCTTTGCTGTTGCATGAGACAGTCTCTTGGTGGTCTCTTCCTCTGACACTTGCCTGACCTTTACATTTGGAGGTCCCACCGAGATCTGGCAGTGGCGGACGAAAGACCCCCAACGGGCTCCTCTCGGGGTAAGTAAGGTGCCTCTTTCTGGTTTCTGATTTCTGGTTTCTGGTTTCAGGTTTCTGGTTTCAGGTTTCAGGGGGGCTTGGCAAAGTGGCTGTTGGTGAAGAGTGTGAGCTCTCTCCAACAGTGGCTGACAGATGTGTCACAGAGCCACAGGCCACGTCCCTGGGGGACGCCCCAGAGGACTCTGGAAATCGAGGAACAGTAGTTTCCTCGACTCAGTATTCTGCAGTATTCTGCTTCGGATTCGGTTTGCCATCCCATCAGGTTTTGCCGGCTACTCAGTCCTGTCTCAGTGTTGAACATTTACTGTCTGTCTTTATCGTCTGTGTTGTATGTCCTTGCTTTCACTGTTTGTGTATCTTTCATTATGGGACAGAGCACTTCAATGCCTCTGTCCCTGACCCTTGATCACTGGACCAAAGTCCACTTAAGGGCTCAGAATCTTTATTTTTCAGTAAAATGCCGGACCTGGCAGACTCTCTGTGCCTCAGAATGGCCCACCTTTGGAGTAGGATGGCCCCCAGAAGGATCTTTCTACTTCCCACTAATTCAAAAAGTCAGAAATATTGTCTTTGTCTTTCATCTGGGACCACATAGCCATCCAGATCAACAGCCATATATCTTAACTTGGCAGGACCTCTGCAAATCTCTTCCTCCATGGGTGAAGCCTTTCCTTGTCCCTGCCCCCGCTCCTACTCCTTCCTTCAGGATTCTGTCTCTCAAACCCTCTGCTCCTCCTCCTCCTCCACCCTCTGTCCTCCCTGAGTCTCAAGATTTGACTCTACTGGATTCTCCTCCCCCTCCTTATCCCCTGCCCTTGTCCTCCAACCCCCAACACCCTCTAAATGATTCCCCTGCTGCTGACTCAGCCTCTCCACCATTGGAGGAAGCTAAGCCGGCCCAGTGCCCTCCAGATGACTCCCCCACTGCACACACAGCCCCTCCTCCCCTGGAGGAAGCTGGCCCGGCTAAAAGAACTCCCTGGCGTTATCACACCAACCTACTTGGGATGACTGCCAACAACTCCTAGGCACTCTCTTCATGACAGAGGAACGAGAGAGAATCCTCCTGGAAGCTAGAAAAAATATCCTTGGACCAGATGGGCAACCGACACAACTTCCCAACATAATTGAAGCCGACTTCCCCTTGAATTGACCCAACTGGGACCTCAACACCTTTGAAGGTAGGGAGCATCTGTCCACTTATCGGGCTCTAATAGTGGGTCTCCGAGCGGCTGCTAGGCGGCCAACTAATTTGGCCAAGGTAAGAGAGATTATTCAAGGGCCTGATAAATCTCCCTCTATGTTTCTAGAGAGAATTATGGAGACATATAGGAGATATACTCCTTTCGATCCTCAGGCAGAGGATCAAAGGCATCTGTCATGATGGCCTTTATTGGGCAAGCTTCCCTGGATATTAAAAGAAAATTACAAGCTTAGATGGATTATAAGGTATGACTTTGAGAGATTTAGTCAGAGAAGCCGAGAAGGTATACTATATTAGAGAAACTGAGGAAGAGAAGGAACAAAGGAGGGAGAAAGAAAGGGAACAAAGGGAGGATGAAAGAAGCAAAAGACAGACTAAGGCATTGACTAAGGTCCTGGTCACAACAACAAATAGGCCAGAAATTAAGAGACAGGGAGACAGAAAGGGATACCTGGGCCCACGCAAGAAGCCACCTCTGGCCTCAGATCAATGTGCCTACTGTAAAGAAAAAGGACACTGGGCCAAAGAGTGCCCTAGAAAGAAACAGCCACTCCAGCCAGCCATTCTAACTCTGGAGGATGACTAGGAAAGTCGGGGCTCAGATCCCCTCCCCGAGCTCAGGGTAACTTTTGAAGTGGAGGGAACCCCAGTAAACTTTGAAGTGGATACAGGGGCAGTATACTCAGCCCTTAAGGCCCCATTGGGCCCTCTATCAAATAAAAGGTCTCTAGTTCAAAGGGCTAATGGCAGTAAATATCGGGCTTGGACAACTAAGAGGACCATGGACCTGGGGAAAGGAAAAGTCCATCACTCCTTCCTAGTGATCCCAGAATGCCCGGCCTCATTGATGGGCAGAGATCTGCTCATGGACTTCCGGGCAAGAATAACTTTTAACCCTGAAGGCCCCCAAATGGAATTTCTAAATCCTTCAGTAAAAACTCCTATAGTCATGGCTTTAACTATGCCAGTAGAAGATGAACATCAACTCTTCACACCCCCCAAGACTGATCAAACAGGCAAGCTATCCCAGAAATGGATAACAGATTACCCAGATGCCTGGGCAGAAACTGCTGGGTTAGGCCTAGCCGTAAAACAACCTCCAATAACAGTGGAGTTAAAAACCTTAGCCTCCCCAATTAATATTAAACAATATCCTCTGAGCAAAAAAAAAAAAAAAAAAAAAAAACTAAAGATGGGATAAGGCCCCATATTCAGAAATATCTGGCCTTAGGGGTCCTAAGGCCCTGTCAATCGGCCTGGAACACTCCCCTGCTACCAGTAAAAAAGCCAGGAACCGGGGACTATCACCCCGTTCAAGACCTAAGAGAGATCAACAACAGAGTGCAGGACATTCACCCCACAGTACCTAATCCGTACAATCTGCTTAGCACTCTGAACCCTGAGCGAAAATGGTATACTGTTCTGGACTTAAAAGATGCTTTCTTTTGCTTGCCTCTGCATAAAGATAGTCAGTTGCTGTTTGCTTTCAAGTGGGTAAACCCAGAAACCGGAACGTCTGGTCAACTAACTTGGACTAGACTCCCACAGGGGTTCAAAAACTCCCCCACTCTCTTTGATGAAGCCCTCCACAGAGATCTCAACAACTTCAGAATTACGCACCCCGAAGTCACCCTGCTTCAATATGTGGATGACCTGCTACTGGCAGCTGACACCAAGGAAAACTGTGAGTCTGGGACCCAAGCACTATTATCCGAGCTTGCTCAACTCGAATATAAAGCTTCTGCAAAAAAAGGCCCAAATTTGCCAGCAAGAAGTAATCTTCCTGGGCTATTCCCTTAGGGGCGGTAAACGATGGCTCACTGAGCCCAGAAAACAAACCGTTGTGCAGATACCACCCCCATCTAACAGGAGGGCAGATGAAGAGGCTAAATTGGCAGCCCTAAACGGAGTAACCATGTTAACACTTTTCACACCGGGGGAACATAAGGACACTGACACTGAACTCCTCGACTTCACTGAGCCCAGCCTACAATTTCAGAAAGCCCTACACTACGTTAAAAATGTACATCAACTCACTCACCTTGGTTCAAAGAAATTGCAGGCATTCCTAAAGGATCAAGAACAGAGTTTTCCACTAACCGGCTCACAGCGAAAGGAAATAGCTGAACGGGTAACAAAAGCCTGTCCGGTCTGTCAATTGGTTAATGCTTACCCTTCCAAGCTTCCTGTAGGAAGGCACCTTCGAGGGACCAGACCAGGACAATTTTGGGAAGTGGACTTTACTGAAATTAAGCCAGCAAGGTATGAACTTAAATACATCCTAATCTTTGTAGATACATTTTCAGGATGGATTGAAGCCTTCCCCACAAAACAAAAGAAACGGCGCAAATGGTGGTCAAGAAGATCCTGGAAGATATTTTTCCAAGATACGGCCTGCCTAAGGTAATAGGGTCTGATAATGGACTGGTGTTCGTGGCCCAGGTAAGTCAGGGGTTAACCAGGACCCTGGGGATTAATTGGAAGTTACATTGCGCTTATAGACCCCAGAGCTCAGGACAGGTAGAAAGAATGAATAGAACCATTAAAGAGATCTTGATGAAATTAAGCTTAGAGACCGGCATAAAAAATTGGACTATGCTCCTGCCTTATGCACTGTTTCATGCAAGAAATACTCCCTCTGTTTCTTTGTGTAACCTTACCCCCTATGAAATTCTCTATGGTGCCCCTCTTCCAGTAAGGGCCCTGACCCCAACTCTAAGACCTAAAGATTCCTTTCACACCCCCTTGCTTGACAGACTTAAAGCTCTTGAAAGAACCCAGTGATACCTGTGGAAACAGCTGGCCACTGCCTACCAACCTGGGGACAAAGGGACTCCACACCAATATCAAGTGGGAAACTTCGTCTACATAAGACAACATCAGGTGTCATCCCTGGAACCCCGCTGAAAATGACCATACCAGGTGCTACTTATAACACCTACAGCAGTAAAGGTAGACGGAATCACTTCCTGGATCCATGCCTCTCATCTCAAGCCTGCACCCTATCCAGACTCTGGCTGGAAACTAAAAAAGACTGGTAACCCTTTCAAATTGCGTATTCACCATGTGGATAGGGCTATAGACTCTCCCCTTGACCACCAGTAGTCCTAATCCTCATCAGCCTGTTCAGCAGCGATGGCTGATCACAAATCCTACTGGACAGGAAGTATGGTCTATCTCACATACAGCCCCCTTAGGGACCTGGTGGCCATCTCTCCACCCAGACATTTGTCAGCTGGCTATAGGTCTTTCCTATTGGGATATCCCTGATGAAGAGGATCCCACTAAAATTCCATTAAATCCCTTCCGTACCATAGATAATAGAAACAAACATTATGGATGTAGGGACACGCGAGCCAGATGCAGGTTGGCTAACCTAGATTACTATGTTTGCCCAGCGGACTATCGAAGCCACAAACAGTCACGGCTGTGTGGGGAAAAAGCCAACTTCTTCTGTAAGTCATAGGGATGTGAGCATACAGGGGCTACCTGGTGGAACCCAAACTCCTCATCAAATTCAGTACACAGCATTGGCCATATTACCAATTAGATAACCAAAACCGAAGACTCCCAGAGGGGTCTCTAGATCCTCAAATTCTGCATGACCTTTTTAACTTCTGCAAGTGCTCAAAAGGGTAGAAGGAAATTCCCCTATGTGGAGGCCTTTTCCCTCCTTCGCTCACATCCTAAACTATGCTTCTCCAATAGATCCTCACCCTTAGCCTTCTTCTCCAGACTCTCTGCTGTCACTCCCACCTCAGCAACCTGATTTCTCCCCTCCAATTACTAGATCAAAACCCAAACCTCCGCCGGTTCTCAGACCATTGCCCCTTTGCTGAAGTAACAGGTACTGAGGTACCCCTCCACCCATTCACTCCTCTCTTCTCCTGTCAGTGCCCACACTGGGTCCCACCAGGTCCTCTTACCAGCTAACCCAAAGCTCAAACCAGCTGAGGAGAGCCCTCAGACCCCTATCCAAGATGTAATGAAAATGGCCTTTAAAGTTGCATTGTCATCACTGAAAACAGGTTACTAAAAATTTAAAGTCCCTCACAGGCTTTTTGGGATACTCACTCCAGTCTTCCCCTCTGCTCTACCTGTTCTACTACTCAAGTTTTTGTTGCTAGGAAAATCCCAAACCCCTTTCCCATTATTCTTTTACATCTCTCTTTCCTCATTCTCAGATCCACGGAGCTGCTCTCAGCACCGCCTTCCCTGTCTTCCCCCTCTGTACCAGGCCCACAGAAAAGTCTTAACTGACCTTCTCCAGAAGTCTTCACCATGGCTGACTTTAGGACTTTCAGCAAAAGAGTCCCTATAAAAGAGTTCAGTATAGATAAACTTCCTCTTTTCATGTTGCCCTGTTCTACTTGGGCACTGGCTGGAAAAATCAGCACTCCTAAGCTGGACACCCCCTTACTAGTTTTTCACAAAATATGTGAACAAGGCCTCTGGCCTTGAGCTGGGGCTTCACAGAGATGGCTACATTTCTAAGATAAAAAAGTTATCAACTGGGCTCCATGGTAACAGCTGGCAGGGGGAAAAAAGAAAAGAAAGAAAAATTTTTCCCCCTCCCAGGTGTCCTTGAAAAGTTAACTTGCCCAGAACAGAGGAAAAAAAACAGAAACAAAAACTGCTTTTTTATAAACTTCTGCAGACTGTGAACTTCTGAGCCCCTTCCCTTACATGTTGAGTACAAAATTCTGAAACTACCTAAACTTGGGGTTCAGGGGATTAATTGATTACAACAGAAGCAATGCCCTCTGAATCTGGTTGCAACCAAATAGGACTGTTTCCCTGTCTTCGGTGCTATCTTAGGTGCCTTGCCTTGTCCGTCCCTACAACAGTATAATTCTATATACTTAAACATTATTTATGTTTTCATGAAATGGTCAACAGATGTGATTAATTGTATAATGGTGCAGATGTTTCTTAGAGTGCTCTATCATGACACAGGTTCATTTGAAGATCAAATAAGGGGACATACAACCCGGTTCCGCCGGGAACCTGTATCCCTCACTTTAGCCATCCTATTAGGAATAGGAGTTGCTGCAGGGGTGGGCACAGGAACCACTGCCCTGGTCCATGGGACACAACAAATGACCCAATTAGAAGCAGCAATAGACCAAAACTTAAAGATATTAGAAACCTCCATCACAGCTTTGCAGGAATCTTTAACCTCTCTCTCTGAAGTTGTTTTACAGAACAGGCGAGGGTTGGACCTCCTCTTCATGAGAGAAGAGGGCCTTTGTGCTGCATTGAGGGAAGAATGTTGTTTTTATGCCGACCATACTGGAGTTCTAAAAGAATCTATGAGTAAATTAAGAAGATGCCTTGAAGAGCGTCAGCGAGAGAGAGAAACCCAAAAAGGGTGGTATGAGTCTTGGTTCACACAGTCCCCCTGGTTAACTACGCTTTTATCAGCCCTGGCTGGTCCTTTAATAATCCTTATATTGTTGCTAACTCTAGGACCCTGTTTGCTCAACCGTGTACTTTCCTTTCCCCAAGCCCAAATTGGACAAGTCAAACTTATGGTAATCAGACAACAATATACCCCACTAGCAGACATAGAATGTGACACCCCCCAATGATCACTTTTATGATTAAAAGTAGCCAGAAGAAGAAGTGGGGAATGAAAGGTTAATAAAATAGGTACTTGTCACTCCGTTTTTCTGTATGCTTAACAAAACACTGTTGAAATCCTGAGAACTGTTTGCTAATCTTGTTCCCAGAATGTGCTGTCCCCAACTGCCAAACTGCAGGATGCACTCCCTCACTTGTTTGCAGGCAAACTGCCCACTCGCCCTGACCCATCAATGAACTTCCCTCCCTGCCCTCTCCAAGAAAAGTATATAAGCTCTGCTTAAGCTGTTCTCAGGGCTCTTTCTCTTTGCTCTATTCAAATGAGCGCTGAGCCCCAGCATGCTGGACCCCAATAAACCCTTTGCTGTTGCATGAGACAGTCTCTTGGTGGTCTCTTCCTCCGACGCTCACCTGACCTTTACAGTTACATACAGCACTAATATCAATTTTGATCTTACATGCTACTTTTTATTTTGAATCAATACATGTTCATCTTTTATCAATATTACACCCTCATCAATATTTGATTGTATTCTTGTAATGTTTTAAAGATTCACTGGAAACCATTCTATTTTTGTTTTCCTAGGTCATATGTACACTTGCTCCTCTTAGTCCCACTTTCCCCTATACCATTATCTGCTACTAACACAAATTCCTCCAGCCATCTTTTCTTTTTAACTTGGTTTGTATTATTCATTTCTATTTTGTCTCTTTCTTTCTTTCTTTCCATTTAATCTCTACTCTTCTTTTCATCTCCTACATGATGTGACAGTAATTTTACTATCTGTAATAACTCATTTCCGAACCTACTCCAGAGTGTTACTGCAATTTTATACCCAGAATATGAGAAGAGTTGAAAATTTTTTCATCAAGTCCCACTTGACCTAAGGTTTATTAGTGCGTGAAGTTTGCTCTGAAGGTACTAAGCTTTAGTATCTTCTTTCAGTGATGCTGAGTTTGGGAATAACAGATGAAAATGTTGAACAGGAGTACCAATACCTGGATATTCACCCAGCCCAGGGCACTTACACAAAGAAGCTCACTAAATTGTCTCTTGTTTAAAAATATAAGTAAAAACCAGGTATGGAACCTCATGGCTGTAATCCCAGGATCTCAGGAGGTTTTTGCAGAAGGACCTTAAGTTCAAGGCCAACCTGAGCAACACAGTGAGTGCTAAGCAACCTAGGGAGACTCTGTCTCAAAATAAAAAAAAAATA